AGCAGAGTCTTGCTACTTTACCTAGGCTGGAGTGCAGTGGTGCAATCTTGGCTCACTGCAACCTCTGCCTTTGGGTTCAAGCAATTCTCCTGCCTCAGCCTCCCCAGTAGCTGGGATTACAGACAAGAGCCATCACACTCAGCTAATTTTTGTATGTTTAGTAGAGATGGCATTTCACCCTGTTGGCCAGGCTGGTCTCTTAACTCCTCAAATGATCCACCCGCTTCAGCCTCCCAAAGTGCTGGGATTACAGGCATGAGCCACCACCCCTGGTCTTTCTTTTTTTAAATAAAAAGGATCTTGCTTTGTTTCCCAAGCTGGAGTTCCAGGGTGCAATAATGGCTCGCTGCAGCCTTGCAGTCCTAGGCTCAGGCAGTCCTCCCACCGTAGCCCTCTGACTAGCTGGAACTGTTGTTACTCAGGCACATGCCACCATACCCAGCTAATTTTTAAATTTGAATTTTGTGGAGACAAGGTCTCCCAGTGTTGCCCAGACTGCCCTATACTCTGGGACTCAAGGGATGCTCTCATCTCAGCCTCCCAAAGTGCTGGGGTTACAGGCCTGAGCACCGGTCCTTGCTCCCAACAAGTCGAACTGTTCCCTACACAGGTTCCCGCCTCTGCACAGGCAGTTTCTCCTGTCAGAAATGGCCTTCGTGACTGTTCACTGTGCTCACTGTCTTCCCGGAAAGCAGTCTAGAGATTCCCGAGTCCTCTGTGCTGGCTTCTGTGCTTTTGCTGTGAGCTCCCCTCTGGAAACCCCAAGTGGCAGTTATCACACTGTATTGTAATGATTACTTTTTCAAGTAGACGGTGAGCTTCATGTAGGAAGCTGTGCGTGATCTCTTTCTCTCTTCAGCATCATAGACTATACTAAGTATTTTTGTATAAATAAGACTAGATCCAGTACAGCTGAAATTATGCTTGGCATGATTAATAAAGTTAAGAAGGTTCAGGTGCCCAGGGGATGGGGGTTCAGAGGAAGGTGGAATCTGTTCTGGTTGAGGAAGGAGCACCCAGGGCCTGGAGGGATTGGACAGTCCAGGAGAGATTCGGAGGAAGGTAGGAGAAGGGAATAGGAAGCATGGGAAGCAGAGGAACGCAGGGCTATCTGGGCAACAGAACGGCGGCTTTCTGAAACAGATGGGTATCTTTGGCCTGCAACTGGACGTTCCCTTCCTTTGTTTCAGTGTGGCTTTTTTAAAAGAAAATATCAACAACTGAACTTGGAGAGCATAAGGAAAGCCCAGCTGAACACAGAGAATCTGTTCGCAGAAGACAATTAGGACTGCGCCATTACCATTGGGAGGGGCTGTCATCCAGTCCTGGGATGTCGAGACCCGGGTCCTTCTGATGACCTTCATGATCTAGAGCAGCATCAAGCTGTTTGTAGAATATTAGTTTGTAACCATACGCTGTCCCAAAAGTGTCTGTGCATTGTGCAAAAAGTAGACTTGGGAAACATTTGGTGTTAAATAAAGTTACACTTCCTTTACAGTAGTGCCTTGAATCTGGAAATACAGTATTATTTATGGTTTGCAGTATATTTTGTCTTAGAGAGCAAGTTTTCATTCTTATTTTTAATAATTATTGATTGTATCCTTTCAGGTAATTCTTAAGTATTGGTTTTGCAGATTTCCAAAAGAAACCCTTTGGGGTTTGTTTTTTGTTTTTTTTTTTTTTGAGACGGAGTTTCACTCATGTTACCCAGGCTGGAGTGCAATGGCGTGATCTCGGCTCACCACAACCTCCGCCTCCTGGGTTCAGGCAATTCTCCTGCCTCAGCCTTCTGAGTAGCTGGGATTACAGGCACGTACCACCATGCCCAGCTAATTTTTTGTATTTTTAGTAGAGACGGGGTTTCACCATGTTGACCAGGATGGTCTCGATCTCTTGACCTCGTGATCCACCCGCCTCGGCCTCCCAAAGTGCTGGGATTACAGGCTTGAGCCACCGCGCCCGGCCCCCTTTGGGGTTTTAATTTAAACATAAAGGTTAAGTTTGGGAGCACTGGTATCTGTATAAAACTGCCTTTCTACTCAAAAATATGACATTTCTCTGCTTGCTGAGATTTTTTTTTTTCTTTTGAGATGGAGTTTTGCTCTAGTTGCCCAGGCTGGAGTGCAGTGGCACCATCTTGGCTCACCGCAACCTCTGCTTCCCGGGTTCGAGTGAATTCTCCTGCCTTAGCCTCCTGAGTAGCTGGGATTACAGGCATGCGCCACTACACACAGTTAATTTTGTATTTAGTACAGATGGGGTTTCTCCGTGTTCGTCAGGATGGTCTTGAACTCATGACCTCAGGTGATCCTCCCGCCTCGGCCTCCCAAAGTGCTGGAATTATATACACGCATGAGCCACCACACCTGCCCCAGGATTTTTTAAAACACTCTACAGGGCCGGGCGCGGTGGCTCAAGCCTGTAATCCCAGCACTTTGGGAGGCCGAGGCGGGTGGATCACGAGGTCAAGAGATCGAGACCATCCTGGTCAACATGGTGAAACCCCGTCTCTACTAAAAATACAAAAAATTAGCTGGGCATGGTGGTGCGTGCCTGTAATCCCAGCTACTCAGGAGGCTGGGGCAGGAGAATTGCCTGAACCCAGGAGGCGGAGGTTGCGGTGAGCCGAGATAGCGCCATTGCACTCCAGCCTGGGTAACAAGAGCGAAACTCCGTCTCA